ATTTTTTCAAGTAGCCTCAAATACTATATCAATTACAAAATCACTCAATGTCTTGCTGCTGGCCCATATCACTTGTTCTCACTATATAACTAGTTCATCATCCTTTCTGGTCATCTATGTCCTTTATGCCACTTCTTCAAAAATTCTGCACTGATAATTGATGCAGACTACTATTGCCTACCACACTTTTATACATTTTACCTATTCATTAAAGAAATTTCCCCAAGGAATTTTACCAGGCAACATTTTGTTAACCTAATTCAAGTTTCTATACCTACTTCAAAGTAATAGCACTGTATTACTTTAAAAATATTCTCTAATTCAAGCTTTACCAACTTATCTTGGCCCCCTACCCATTATTGCAAAATAATAAATAATTTTAAGTTTGTTTTTTTACTCCAACTGATATTCTTCCCTCCTTACTCCTGGATGATGAATATGAAAGTAATGGATACTAAACATAAAGGAATCAAAATTAAAACTTGGTGTTTTTTTAAAATATAAACTATGATGTACAAGTGATATTTTTGTTTGCCTTAATGTTTGCCTTCAATAAGGTGAAAGTAGCATTCAGTAGACTTGATCACAAATTTTAGGACTTGTCTTAGTTCTTTTTCTATTGGTTACACATGAAAAATCTAGGCTCATTGCTTTCGCTTTTTAGAGCCTTGATTATCCAAGATAAGTAGAATCACAGGATCACAGGATTTAATGTGGAAGAGACCTTAGAGATCACCTAGCTAACTCCACAACCCTACCCCAACCCCAAAAACACAATTTTGCAGATCAGGAAACTAAAAGCCACTAACTCAACCAAGGTCATACAGGTAGTAGTAAGGCAGGCCAGAATTTGAATGCAGGCCCTGCCAATGCAGTGTTCTTTCCATTATACCATGGTGTTCCTCCAAAGTGTCTTAGCTACTCCTAATTAAAGAAATTGCGTTATCCAACCCTTTAGGGAAATGAAGATATGAGCCAGAAGTAAATAAAAAAAAATAAGGCATTCAATGGTAAAATCTAAAAAATAAATTTAAAAATGCCTAAAAGAAAAATTCAAGATGTAGAATATATGTTTTCCTTCTTTTATACTTTTTCATCTTGGATAACTGAGGTATAATGTTTCTATTCCCACCTTACTATCAAACCCTACAGCATTAGTTTACTTTTTTACTTTCAGACTGTCAAAAGTCCAATGGAAAATATGTGCTAGAAATTATAAAAATACGAAAACTAAAACAAGCTTCTGAGTATTTTTTTTTTAATCAACTCAGGTGCATGATTCTAATGAGAAAAACATGCATTTGGGACAAGACCACATGAATTTCAGGCTGGGACAGAAAAACAGGTGATAGCTATCAGTACATTCATTTACAATCTCTTTAAAGGCTTGTTAAAATGATTTTTTTTAACTTGGAGGCTGAAGGAGAAAAATGAAGAGGAAAGGAAGAATGAGATGAAAATGAAGAACCAATGATGACAAATATATCTAAAAATTCCTGTATGCGAATCTCTAAAAAACTATATCTAAGAAACTATTAAAAATTAAGATCTAAAAGATTTTAAAATATTTAAAAATTATAAGATATACAATTTAAATATTATGCATCAAAATATGTCCACATAATGTTTTCTTTGCTCTTAAACTATACACACAATCTTGGAGGTCAGAGAAAATGCAAACCATAGTAGCCCTATTAATTTAATAGCTATCAGCTACTGCTTGCAATTAGCATATAGCCATTAAAATTTTGTGGAATGTTTAGGTCTCATCACGAGTGCCGCTCATTATTAGCAACATTTTGTACAGCTGTAGTGTTATCAAGACCTAGTAATGTTCCAAGGTAAGACTGATCTCTAGGATCAAGCATCTGTTCAGGTCGAACTGGATGAACTATATTTGTTGGCTGAGGAGTGAGAGTATATTTTTCCAGAAACGCCAAATCTGTTGCTCGTGGATAATCTGTCGGCTGTGTCTGTGTAGAAAGGATGCCCTGGGAAGGTGGTGGAAGTGCGGTGGTATGGCGTACCATATCATTCTGAGTATCTGGCATCTGGACTGGAACCAATGTTACTGGAACACAGACTTCATTAGGTACATTTGGTAACATAGTTTTGGATTCTGATTGATATTTAGACTGGTCCATATATTGTTTAGTTTCTGTTTGGTAACCTTTCCCATCAGGAGCATACTCTATTGGTAAGGATACAAGTTTCTCCTCAGAAGTAGTTAGTGGTTCATCTGGAGATTTTATTCCATGCACGTGGTCAATATGGTACTTTAGTTTGTCCTTCCGTTTAAATGTGGCATTACAATGCTGACAGTTGAAGGGTCGAGCATCAGAATGAATAACCATGTGTTTTGTTAAAGTTTTCTTAATTCTGAAAGACTGATTGCAAATTTGACATTTGTAAGGCTTTTCACCTATGAAGAAAAAGATAATATTAAGTGTAAAATATAAATATATAAAATTTATACCAAATGAGTTTGCACTCTTCTAAATAAATATTGTTTTCAAGTTTTTAATGACAGAACTAACTGTCAAAACAAATTGATATACTTTTTCTCTTATACTTTTATTTCTCCTTCCAACCAGCAGGTCAACAAGAGGCCCTTTCAATAGGAACACTTAATTATCATTGCCTCAAACCCAAAAAATATGTTAAACAGGGAGGATGGCTTAGGCTACTTCTTTTGATTTAAATAATTTATTTATCTCCAGCATCACTGAATCAATCAGAGAACCGGAATGGAATTTCCATTTGTTCTGGAATACGGTTCTTTTACTATTATTTCATTATTTTATTTAAAATGCTGTGAGTTGCTTAATAATTGGATATATCCATAACTAAATAAGAATAACAAAAAAACTGTTTTCTAAGTGATCGATATTTGCATTGTTTGCTATGTGGGACTAGCTGTGGAAAACTGTTCAAAATGAAAATATTTCCAAAAAGGAAGTTTCACAGCATAGTCAGAGGAATGTCTTCCACATCAATGGTGTCAAACTCAAAAAGAAATGGAACTTCCTAGGGCAGCATAATGACTTCAAAAAATGACATATTAACATTATCTATGTTTTGTTATGTTTTTATTTAGTTAAATATTTCCCAATTAAATGTTAATCTGGTCAGGCAACTCACTCTTCCAACTCTTAAAAAGTGTTCAATTTTATAAACATGAAATCAAATATGATGATCTGATTTATGTCTCATACCAGTGATATCAAAGTCAAATAGAATGGGAATGGGATGGACTAAACTGCACATTAAGGATATCTGTGGCCTGCTTACTGGCTTAGAAAACATTTTTGTTTTGTTGTATTTTTATTTATTTTGTCAAATATTTCCCAGTTGCATTTTAATCTGGCTCATGCCACACATGACAGTGCTGCAGGCACTGCCAGGGCAGATGTTTGACACTTCTGTCTATGCGGATTCAACCAAATTATGATGTTTAAAACTGGTGTTCAGTTCTGTCTTGTGTTATTTATAAGCCTATTTTGTGTACCCCTCATAGACATAAAAAATAGCTTGTTAATAGTCTCTAGATAATACTCTTTGTATAATTTTAAGTCACCCCAGATTAAGCTTCTTTGTCCTATATCCTTTTATCCCCAGCATTTAGCACAGTGTTTTGCACATAATAAGTAACTAATAAATAAGCTTTATTTATTCATTTATTCATTCACTCTATATGCCCTCACACGAATTCTCTCCAAGCTCTTTACATCGATGAAGCAAAAGTCCACAAATGGACAAAGTACTCACTATCTCAGTCTAGCTAGCATTGAGAATAATAATAATATCACAACTGCAACATTTTATTAATAACTCTATTTCAGCATGGTAATATTATTAGATCTGCCTTTAAGAAAGACTAAGGTCTATTACATTAGTATCACTTTTCTGCCGTATGTATAATAGTTCTCCCTCCCCGCTTTTTTTATGAAACCCCACTATTTTTCTCCCCTAAATTTAGCAATGGAATTGTTATTATTGTATTGTTTCAGTCATGTCCAATTCTTCATGACCCTATTTGGGGTTTTCTTGGCAAAGATATTGGAGCAGCTTGCTATTCCCTTCTCCAGCTTGTTTTATAAATGAGGAAACTGAGGCAAACAGGGGTTAGTGACTTGTCCAGGGTCACACAGAAAGTAAGTGTCAAAGATCAGTTTTGAACTCAGGGCTTCCTGATTCCAGGGTTGGCGCTTTGCCCACTGCACCACCCAGCTGCCCATAGCAATGGAATAGCTAAGTGCAAATCATAGATTAAAAAAAAAGTATAAATGTTTTATGAAAGGTTTTTAAAATTTAGCAAAAGTCATAAAAAGTAAAGATTAACTAAGGAATACAGTATTTTAAAAAAAGGTCCAACATTATATATTTCAGGAAATGATATCACCCTTAAGTTCAAGAGGAACAGAAAAATAGGAAGTGATCTTTAAAAACTGAAATCAGCATTCTCCCAAAGATACCAACAAAAGCCATGACTGGTTGGCAGTATTACAAAGTACACAACAAAGCATCCTCCAAAGAAGCTAAGACAAAGCCATGCGAACTACTTTGTGCTGCTACTTAAAAAGGAATATAGTAAAAGAAGTAAATAGCTAAAGCACAGGCCTGAAGAATGCCCTTAAAAGTGGTTAAAAAGAAGAATCACAAAAAGACACTTTGAAAAAAGTAACTAAAAATGAAGAAAAGTAGCAACTGACAGAGAAATATACATTGGAGAGAGAATAACCCCACAACCAATTGTCTCTCTGCAAATCCTTTTTATAATACCACTGTGAAAAACTGAAGCTATACGACAAAAAATAAAGACCTTAATATAGGCTCCTCAAGCTAATGACATTACTATAAATACTAAAATCTCAATTGGAATAGGAATTATAACTGAGAAAAGCATGGTTTACGTGATCAGGCTTCATTCTTGATTAAAATACACATAACCTACCCATTAAGTTTTACCTGAATGTGTCCTAAAATGCATTTCCAGACTTGATTTGCCTTTAAAAATTTTCTTACAAACGTCACATTGGTGAAATGTTGCTTTATATCTAAGAAGTAAAAGAAGGTTACATTAAAATTTTTTCCCAGTAAGTGCTTAATAGATTCATATTAAAAATGTAGTAATTTAAAAAGCAATCTTCTGAACGTTCACATTATTAAAAAATAAAAGTTAGGGTGCAGAGGAAGGTAAATCCCTTTAGAGTAGGCCTTCTTCATTTAGATTAGCCCTTTAAAGTAGTACTCTTAGGAAACACCTAAGAAAAGTTCACAGTCATTGAAAAATTTAAATGAAGAACCTATGTACAAAGCACTGCTGCTGGACTGAAGGGATATACAAAGATGAAGAAAAAAACAGTTCTTCCCCTCAAGCACTGACACTTTTCAAAGTCATGTACCTACTTTATATGCCCCTTGAATTAAGTGTTAACTAATACTTATTTTCTTTAAAATTCTCCACCAATTAGTTCATCTTTTCTAATCTAGTTCCATCTCATGGCGTATCATGGCTTATACCAAATGTACTTGTCAGGCTTGAATTCTTCTGGCCCATCTAAATTGAGACCTTCTTCCTCCCATCTTTAAGTTTTTGTTCACATTACCCTATATACATAGAATGACTTCACATTATGCTTTATACACAGAACAACAGCCTCCATCTGCTTCCAACCCAACAATTATTCTTTATATAGAAACCCAAAGCCTATACCTTTAAAAGGCTATTCAATCAACATTTCCTAACAGGTCAACATAATCAGCATTTTTCTTCAAAATATTTTGATGACTAATATATTTATATGGATAGACAGGATACTCCAAAGTCTTAGTGTAGTTTCAAGCTATCAAAGCTGAGAATTGCACTAAGGCTTTTGGGATACCCCATATTTGTGCATATTTACATTTATCTCGATTATACTATATGACATTTGAGAAAATATATGATATGCATACTTTATAATCCACCCAAAAAGAGCCAAGAATTTTATCAGAATGCATCCTCAAAACAAAAAGCCAAGAATTTTATTAGAACTCAAAAATCTGTTCTTTGGCTTCTGTCAAATCTGGATTGTATCATAAAGTCAGTATTAAATCATATTAGAGCCCTCTCAAAAATGAAGTTTTAAATGTCCAATATATTTTTCCACAGAATGATTTATACTCAATTCATCAAACATTAAACAATGCTGTGCAAGGCAATGGCTAGATGACAGAAATACAAAGACAAAATAGATCCCTTTCCTCAAGGAGTTGACAACATTCTCTTGGGGGATAACAACATGTGCACCAAAATAATTGGAGGAGGTGGGGTATGAAGAAAGAGGGATATGTTTCACAGGGAAGGATGGCACCAGAACTGAACGCTAAAGAGAAGGATTCTGAAAAAGAGGCTTGAAGAGGGAATCCTAGTCATGACAAACAGTTTATTAAAATGCAGAGGACACAAAAGGAATGCAGAGATCAGAGAACAGCTGGAAGTCTAGTTTGGCTTAAACACAGAATATGTGATGGGAAGTAAAATAAGATAAGGATCCAAAGAGAAGTTGAAGTGAGATTTGGCTGAGAAATATGTATTTTATCCTAGAGGCAAGAAGAATCCTTGAAGGTTTCAGGGCAGAGAAATGACATAGTCAGAACCTCACCTTAGGAAAACTATTTGACAGTTGTGTGAGGTATGGATTGGAAAAGAGAGAGCATGAAAGCAGGGAGACCAGTTCTTAAGCTCTTACAAGAGTCCAGGCAAGAAGTGATAAGGCCAACCCTGGGAGCAGAAAGAAGGGAAAGGATGCAAAAGATATTATAGAAGCCAAATTAAGGAGTTTTAGAATTAACTGAACTGAAGTCAGGAATGACTCTGGGTGACAGGAGGATGATAGTACCTGATTAACAGTTTAAGATGGATAACTCCATTCCATTTTGGACCTGCTGAGTTTAATGTGATAGTCACAAAAAGAACAATTGCATTGAACTCATAAAGTCTGCAAACACACACACACATATACATACATGCACACATACACAAACATATAGATATAGATGTATACTTATATCTAAATATAGATAAATGTACATATAAAATCTCTTTTGAGCCTCATAACAATCTTGAAACGTAGGTACAAGTATATGATGAGAAAACTGAAGCACAGAATCTCACTGTGTGACTGTGGACAAGTATCAGAGATAGAATATAAACCCAGGCCTTCTGAAGGACAAGTTCAATAATTTGTTTGTTATACTATGGGATATCAAGATGGAGACGCCCATTAGGCATTTGGTGATCACAAGGTCTAGAGTTCAGAAGAAAGGATTGGACACAAAGATGTGGTGACTATTTGCAGAGGGATAATCTGGTAGTCAATGACATAACCAAAAGAGAGAATACAGAACAAAAACAGAGAAGAGCACAGAACTGAGCCTTGGAGGATACCCATTCTTAACAAAGGACAATTAAAACTAATACAACTGACTCTCAGTAGTGAAGAAGATCAGGAAGACCATGAGTAAAGGAAATTAAAAAAAAAAAATACCCAGATGGCACAGTGAACAAAGCATTGGATTTAAAGAGTTAGAAAGGCCTCGGTTCAAATTTTGCCTCAGACACTAGCAGTGTGACAAGTCATTTAATTTCTCTCAGCCTCAGTTTCCTCATTTGTAAAATAATAAGAACATCTATTTAAGAGTTGTAAGAATTAAATAAGATCATATATGTAAACACTTTGCAAACCTTAAAGTGCTATATAAATATTAGTTATTATCTGCATTTTTAGAACTATAAATAAAACAAGCAGAAAAAAAGACTGACAAACTTTACCTTAATTCCTCCCTCTCTTTCCTACCCATTTTTTTTTAAATAAGTTCAATCAAACTGGTCTATTTTCCAACTTATGAACAAGTCGTACAACTCATATCCTCAATGACACTGCTCACACTATTCTCTCTGCCTGGGATACCCTCACTCTTACACCTCCAATTTCTATAACCAATTAGATGCTTCATCACATATTAAAGATCCAAATCACATCACAACTCTTCTCTAATTGTCCTTTGTCTTGCTCTGGTCTTGCCTTTTATTTTCCTTAGTTTTTAATTCTTATAAACTTTTGTTCTGTCCTATATTATAGTCATTTACATTTAATCTCTTCTACTAAGACTGTAAGCTTCTGATGTAACCTATTGATCTTCATTATTTCCCTTAAAGCACTTATATATTGTGTTTTGCACACAGCAGACACTTATGTCTGCTTATTTTAAATTTATTACTAGTAAGCAGTTTTATGAACAAACAACTTAATTTAACAAATATTTATTAAAATGTGCAAGACACTGTGCTAGATTCTGGGGATACAAAGATGAGAAGCAAAATATGCCCTTAAGGGACTTACAATCTCAAAGGGTGGTTGAAACACACGCAAATAACTGTAATATTCAAATGATTAATACATGGGAAAGATCACAGTAGCATGAGAGATATGAGGAAAAATGATCACTTTTAGGTAGGGGGGCAATGAGGGAGAGAAAAACTAGGGTAGACATCATGAAGGATGTGTCACCTGATCTAGGTTTTTAAGAAAGAATAAAATTTTAACTAGATAACTGGTCATTGAATAACCAAAATCGATGACTTATCTAATGTGACCAATGAGAAAAGCTGAAGATTTTTACTTACTTTTGCCACACTTTCTCACCAAGGTGAACACTTTTATAATGAACAGTGAGGTGATCCCTGCGGCCAAAACATTTTCCACATTCTTCACACTGATGAGCTTTTTCACCTTGAAATAAGGAGTCAAACAAAATCATAATTAGAATGCAGTAAACATATCAGTTCTTTCAGAAATAGTTTTTTTTTAAAAAATCACAAAGTTGGTGAGAAAGATGCCAGGAATTAAATAAAGCACCAGAATTTCAGCCACCTTTTATTCTGAGATATATTCCCTTCTACTCCTCACTCAAACTTCTTTCTTCCAAGAATTTATGCTTATTTTCCTGGTTATGGGTCTTCTCCCCACTTGGAGAAGAAGGTGCAGCCTCTTGTTGGAGACTTCAAATATCACCTTTTAAAGTAATGGAGCAAGATAACTGAGATTACTTCAAAACTCAGTTTTCCACCCCCATCGACATTTTTCAAGTTATCAAGAACTACAAAATATAAATTAACACCATAAGAAGAAACTATATTATTTTAAATGGGGACCTGAACATTTTCAGATCTTTGTATTCTAATTTTAAAATGATTTTTCACCCTTGGGGATTTCTTACATTCCCAATGAGCCAAAATACAAATAGAATTAAACTCTAGATATCTTTGCCTTCTTAATATTTTAAGGCCTAATAGTTTTAAAACTCATGCCTGACCCAAATGCACAAGATAGCATTAAGAATTTAGAAATCAAATCCTAGGGCTGCCACTATAAATGCATGAAGAAATCACCAGTTCCTTAGCATCTCTGATAAGTGGTGATAATAACAATAGCAACCTACCTCATGGAAATGTTCTAAGGAATAACTATTGATTATAGCATATTTGACATGTACATTATGTTTATAATAATAATAATCACCTGTTCTACTGTGCTCATAGTTGGCTCTCTCCCATTACTGTACGCACAGAGTTGGCTCTCTTAGCACTTCCTGAACATCAATCTGAGAGGAAAATACGAGAGAAATCCCCAGAGTTTGAAAATTATAAATACAGTGTGAAGATCTGAAATTGATCAGGGTTACTACAAAAGAACCCTTTTCCACAAAGAGGGCTTCAAACACTCACTGTGACATGAAAATCTCAAATGCCTTACCCTCCTCCCCATTTCTCCTAGAACTCAATTATCCCTCCAACATATCAAAGTGTAAAATACAATCTTGGCCTTTCCATCTAAGACATCACCAATTGCAGGTATTCCACTTAAGCCTGTAGAATACATGAAACATCAATGTCCAGAATGTAAATCATCATTTAAAATAACTAAGAGTCCATATTCAAGAAAGCTTCAATAGAAGTTAAATGATAAAAATGAGTCATTATGAATACATAATCACAGTATTATTTTCCTTCTCTTTGCCTAAAAATTTTTTAAAATTCATTATTACAAGATACTGCCTACCTGAATGTATTTTTTTGTGTTTTGTAAGATGGTCATGACGAATAAATGTTTTTCCACATTCATCACATTCATATCTCTTATCATCATGATGGACTCGCAAGTGAAGTCTATATATAAAGATGAATATTGAGAGGAATTTATATTGGTGTGAGAATAAAAAAAATCAATAAGCTCTGAATAATATAAAGTCTTCTCCCAAATACACAGATTATCAGTTTAGTATCTACGATTCATGATATTCTCTCTACTACCACACAATTGAGTTCAAAGTTGCTATCTCTTTCCCTACATGTTCCCCTCCAATATTTCTACACACTTCACCCTGCCCACCAAGCTTTTCAAATGGTTATTCCCTACCACCAGTTCTGGGGATTGCCAGAAGTAGAATTAAATCATGAAAAGATTTGCTTAGGGGTCAGAATGAGTAAACATATGAGCTACGTAGTATATTACATGGCAAATGGTAAAGTAAAAAATTCTGAGGTTATCATTTCTTTTGCATAACATAGAAAATGATCATTCCCCTTCCCTTTAAACCAACTATATGTTTTACTAGTATTTATATTTTTTTAAATAAGTTTTTATGGATATTTTCTATTTTCTATTTTCTACATCATCAGAGTACCCCAGGTATCCCCCTCTCAAGTATTTATCTTTATGATAACCATATTTCACTACATTTCACACAGGTTATTTTATACACATACTTGGAGAGATTACAGAAAATCTGAGAAACTGTATTTAAATTACAAACAAATGCGGTATACAGGGGAAAAAAAGAAACACTAACTCCTATTAGATAAATTGCTAGAATAAATTTTTTGATACTTTTGACATAAAAATAATAAAGTGAATGGATGAAATAACTGAAACTATACCATTTTTATTTTCCTTAAATTGGATGAAATTCAGAGATGATAAAAAGAAAACAATTTTAAAATGATGACTTACAATTCTTACAATAGGATTAGTAAAGCACAGATATGTGTTTATCTTCAAATGTCTTCTAGCTGTTTACAACCATCCCTCACCTCCCCAAAAAATTCCCTCATACAAATGAATTGTAAATATAGTCAGTGATTAGCCTCATGAAAAAGACAGATGGATCTTGATTAAACAAAGCACAATTTTCTGAAATTAGGAGAATGGAGAATATTTCCTAGAATGCAACATTATCTACTAAATAAATACCAAAGACAAGGAAACTCCAACATAGATTTATTAAGTTCACTGTGTATGAAAAAGCTTTATTAATTATGCACCCATACATGTATACATATATGTGTGTATATATCTGTGTTTATCTATATGCACATAAATATAAGTATAATTTACCTAGAATAGCACTTCCAGCATAGTAGATTCTTAATGATGTGAAAATATCTCATAAATTATATTTAAGGATAGCTACAGTATCAACAGCTGCAAATTTATGAAACAGAAGGCTAATCCACCTTCATAAACCTACATACACAACTAGGACACTTATGTCCCATAAAGTGATCAAGAAATGGTTTTTGCTGCAGTTAGCACTCCAACAATAAAATGATATATATACACATACATATACACACATACACAGAGATCGGTGACAATTTCATCTTGCATTATACATAATATGTTGGCTTTACCTTACCTGTATGAGCTTCCATGTCGAAAACTCTGCCCACAAATACTACACAGATGTGGTTTTTCTCCACTATGAATCCTCAGATGTTCTTTTAAGGTAGTTCTATATTCAAAAATAATGCAACATCATTTAATACTATTTAATAATGTTGTTCATAAGAATCTTTGCTTTACTGATTAAAATTTAAATAGGATCTTGACATAAACAGTTTAGGGTTTGTTATAACAGAAAACTGAAGAATCCAATCTAGTAACCAACTATTATAATATTTATGATAAATGTTAACAGTTACAGCACACATAAATATTCTTTACATGCATAAAGATGTACTACAGCAAGATGATATGAGGCAGGTAATAAAATGAATAACCAACCCTCTCTTCTGCCTACCACTGCAAATATTAGTTTTGGCTAGTGGATTGTGGATCCAATTAATTGAAATAACTACTGTTAGACTTGGGAGATTATTGTTGAAGATGTACCAACAAATAGAAATAGTTCTTTAGGTCTTACTTGGTACATCACTGTGTAGACCTTGTACTGTCATCCATCCTTTTTTATTAAGAAAAGATTAAGATAATGATGAAAGAGAAGAGATACTACTCCAGGTTTAACTCAGGAGCAATCAGGTGGTAACTAGGTTACTCAACAATTCTAGAACATTAGCCCTAATTGTATTTTTATATATTTGTGCTTTTTTTCCTTGTTCAACATTCCTATAAATATTACCTGAGTACAGGGATATACTGATAAATGTTTAACAACGGGTTATGAAAACACATGACACACTTTTTTGTTTAATCTGCATCATTAACATTTTCTCCATTGCTTTCTTAAGTACAGACAATCAACAAAACAATAAATCAAGTTCACACTGAATATGTAACAATCTGCACTCCAAAACCTGTATGAGCAGGCTCCAGAACACCCCTGCATCCAGGGATGAAATTCTCTTATGGCAGTGAGGAGAAGTCAGGCAGCATGGCTAGTTTGAACATCTCTCCAAGCCAGAAATTGCCTGAATATCAACTAATGTTAAATTAAATTTTTTTTGGCAGACCTGAGCCTAAAATTGCAGAGTATATTGCAATACTATTATTTTTTCTTCCACGTAAGTCAACAAGCATTTAATAAACATTTTGGTCAAGTGCAAGAGAATCATCACCAGTAATGAACAGTCACTGAGTGATTTTTTCCAGCCAAAGCAACTCACGAAAACCATCCAAGAGATTTGATATACTCTGACAGAGTCCAAATTAACACCAACAAAAAAAAGATGCTTGAAGTACTAAATGAGAGGAATTAGTATCAGCTAAAAACTGCTCTATATTTCAAATGCTGAAGGGATATTTACTCATGTGCTTTAGACCTTTATGTGCAAAGTAGAAAAGCCAACTTGTAAGCAAGAGAAAACAAGGGAGACAAGTTCTGCTGTTGCCTTGTTCACTTTCCAAAGGCATAAAAAGTATAAGTATTCCAATAAGTGAGGAGTGATAGAGATGTAATGACTCCTGGTGGGGGTGGAGGTGGGGAGTGGGTTAGGAGAGGGAGTGTTCAGAATAATTAACAAGAGCCAGGTTATTTGGTCTTTTCTGAAATTACTGTTTGAAATTCCAGAACTACAGTGTACTGATCAGTTTGTTTTAGTATATACAGAGAGTATATTCCTTAATAGGAGGTAGGTAGGTGGCTCAGTGGATAGAGTGCTGGGCCTGGAGACAAGAAGACCCAAGTTCAAATTTGGCCTTAGACATTTACTAGCTGTGTGACCCTGAGCAAAGCACTTAACCTCTGTCTGCCTTCATCCACTGGAGAAGGAAATGGCAAACCACTCCAGTATCCTTGCCATGAAAAAACCCTATGGACCGTATGGTTTAAAAAGACTCAGAAACAACTGAATGACTGAACAACAAAAATATTCATTAATGAAATCAGTTAACACCACCTAACCATTCTTTATTCATAATAAAATTTAAAGAAAGCTTTTCCTTAATCCAAAGCATCAAAGAACCAATTACAGAATCTCGGAGTTTTAAGTGTCCCCATATGTCACCAATTCAACCTGTACTTGAACAGGAGAGTCTTTCATAATATGCTTGACAAGGGTTAATCAACCACTGCTTAAAGACCTTCAGTGAGAGAGAATCCACTCCCGCCCAGGGAGCCCAGTCAACTCTTGGACAGCTCTGTTAGTGAGCGTTTCCTTACTTTAAGGTGAAACCTAACCTCCAAATAATTCCATATATGTATTGTAATGAGACTATCAGAACAAATACAATCCTTCAACATGATACTACTTCAAATCAATGAAGATGTTGATCTTCCTCTCACTACCCCAAAAATGTCCTAAACAAGTATACTGTTTTCCACAATAAACATCTCCAGCTCCTTCAAACAATTTTCAAATAACATTATTTTGAGACCCTTCAACATCATGATCAGACTGTAGGCTTATCAATATCTTTCCTAAAATATGGTACTTCTAATTTAAGGCAATACACTATAGATGTGGACTGACCAGTGTAGATTACAGTACTCTCATAGTCTGACATAACTATATCATTCAGAATAATGTAACCTAATGCTGCAACACCACCTTCAACTTGTACTGAGCTAGAAGTCCACTAAAAGTCCTAGATTTTCATCAAATGATTGATAGTCGACCCCAAATCCTTATAAAGTCCTACTTGAGTTTAAAAAAAAAATCACTCACCCAAATATTTATTCTTATTAAATTCAGTCTTATTAAAATCTGTCCATTGTTTTAACCTGTCAAAATCTTTCTAGATTCTATCCCATGCCCCCATGAGTTGTGTGAAATGAAAATTTTATAATCATACTATCTAGGCCTTTATCCAAGGAATTGTTAAAAACATTAAACAACACAATGACCAAATCATATCACCAAGGGAACTCCACCAGGGACCTTTTTCATGATAACAAATTCATTAATCTTTTGATCCAGCCTTTCAGTGAGCAACTATTTGGTCTTTTAAAGAAACAGCAATTCATCCAGCTTCTACTGACAGTTGGATTCAAACCCAGTAATTTAGATTCATAACAATTCAAAGGAAAGAGAAAAGGAGAGAGAAGACAGAGAGGAGAGAATGGCGGGAATAAAAAGAGGGGAAGCTGAGAAGAGACAGAAAAAGAGAACAAACAAAAATGTAGAGACAAACATTGCAAAAAGAAAAGTATCCAAACACCAAAGTGCCAAAGAAAGAACTATTGTCAGAGAGAAAAAGCAGCACTAAGCATAATTAAAATAGTAAAATAATTCAATAAATTCAATTTACACATTAAGCCAATATAAGTTCTTCTAATCATTATCCACTTCAATAACTCCATTCCTATAGAACATGTGGTCTACACAGAAATAATTTATTAATGGCAATTACCTATTCTGAAAATTCTAAAATTTTTGACTAACAATTTTTTTTTGGTCCAGACCTGCAATTTCACATTGCAGAAAACTCTTCACTGAGGAAGCTCCCTCCACCAACTGCCACTCTATTATCTCTTGGGCAGCTAGGTGGTGCCACAATGCAGAGAGCACTGGGCCTGGAATCAGGAAAACTTAAGTTCAAACATGGCTTGAGATCCTTATTAGTTGTGTGGAACTAGTCACAACCTCTGTTAGCCTCAGTTTCTTCATCTGTAAAATGGGAATAATAATAGCACCTACCTCACAGGGTCATTACAAAGGATCAAATGAGATAACGTTACCTATTATTGTTACTGCCACTAAACTACAGCCTTTTGTCTTTTATAGCTATAGTCAACAGACTTTGTCTTTTCATTGGCCAGAGTTTTTTCTATTATATCAAAGTTTCAATAATACCCAGTCACCACAGTGAATAAGAAAAAAAAAATCAAACTTAATCTTGCTGTAGGGAGTCTAACAATTCAGTTTACAATATCAGTGTTACTACTGATCACACTAAGTATTCAATAAGTAAATGATATTTCCTCTACATGTCATTTAGTCACAAAATTTTAAGGAGTTCTACCCACCCACAAAACTACTTAGGAGATCTAAGGCATGAGTTTCTAGGAAGCCACTTCTGCCACTCCATATTGCAGTCCTGTTACTACTAAGGCAGTGTTAGCTAACTTTTGACAGCTTCCCTAAGACAGGACATAATCTGTAGGGAAAGAGAAATTACACTAGGATTGTAATTTTCTGGAGGACTTTTGGGAAAAACTACTTAAATTATATTCGTATGTTGTCACTCTTTATTTCTGTCAAATAAAGCTTATTCCAACCTACACCTTGTAGAACATATCCAAGAGATCATCGAGCCTTTGTTTAAAGACATTGAAAAAGCACAATGCTTTGCTTATAGTAAGTACTAAATCAATGTTTTTTCCACTTACTCATTAAGGGGAAATCTGCTACCTCCTGAAGCTACAAATTCCATTTTGCAGAGCTCTATCAGTATACTTTTTTCTCTTCCATAAAATCTAAATTTACCTTTGCAATTTCCACATGCTGCTGCTAGCTCTGCCTTCTGCAAATAAACAGAACAAGCTTAGCCCCTCTTCCACCTAATGTTCCCTCCAATAATGAGATAGCTATCATATAACCCATAAGTCTGCTCTCTTCCAGGTTGAATGTTACCAGTTCCTTCAGCCAATGCTCATAGAACATGATATAGGACATTTTTGGGGTAGTGAGAGGAAGATCAACATCTTCATTGATCTGAAGTAGTATCATGTTGAAGGATTGTATTTGTTCTGATAGTCTCATTACAATACATATATGGAATTATTTGGAGGTTAGGTTTCACCTTAAAGTAAGGAAACGCTCACTAACAGAACTCTGAAAAGTAGAGTTAAGACTTGAAGTAACTGTGCCAGCAGATGGTGCTGTTAAAGAAGGCATAACAATACTAGAACGGAGACAGAAAGATGTAACTCACTTCAGGTCACAGAAAAATTGCAAATTAAATACTATTAATGGGTGTTGGACACTTTTTTTTTTCTAGATTTGTTTCCTCACCTGTAAAACGAGCAATAGACTAGGTAATCTCTAAGCTCCCTTCCAACTCTAAAGCTTGGTATATCCTATGACGTCTATGATATCCCTATGACACTTTATCACTGACCTGTAGGATAATAAATATTTATTTTGACTTTCACTTTTGAGTGTTCATTGACTAATAATAATAGAGAAGACACCATGGAACACTTGAAAGAAAACTGACTCTGGAATTAAAGGATCTGGGTTCAAATCCCACCCCTGACACTACCTGTGACTTTGAACAAGTCTCTTAACTTCTGTAGACCTCAGTTTCCTCATCTGTCAAATAACAGGGTTGGCCTATATGACTATATGGCTTCCAGCTGTAGATCTATGAGCTTGTGGTCCTAATAACAAACAGAAAATCTGGTTTTAAAAAAAAAGTCCTGAAATTGCACTTTCATGTGGAATAGTGATTAGATTTGCTTTGCTTGGCCCATAAGGCAGCATGAGGAGTTTAAACTTACTGAGAGGTAGGATTCAGGCTCAAATGAGAAAAATTTTACTAACAATTAGAGCTGTTCCAAAGAGAAATGAAATTAACGCATTTTCAGGCATAAAATGCATAAATCAGTGTGACTCAACCATAGAATTTAAGTTGGAAGGGATCTCCAAAGCTTATTCCAACCTATACCTAAACAAGAATACCCTTGTAGAACATATCCAAGAGATCATCGAGCCTTTGTTTAAAGACATTGAAAAAGCACAATGCTTTGCTTATAGTAAGTACTAAATCAATGTTTTTTCCACTTACTCATTAAGGGGAAATCTGCTACCTCCTGAAGCTACAAATTCCATTTTGCAGAGCTCTATCAGTATATTTTTTTCTCTTCCATAAAATCTAAATTTACCTTTGCAATTTCCACATGCTGCTGCTAGCTCTGCCTTCTGCAAATAAACAGAACAAGCTTAGCCCCTCTTCCACCTGATGTTCCCTCCAATACTGAGATAGCTATCGTATAACCCATAAGTCTGCTCTCTTCCAGGTTGAATGTTACCAGTTCCTTCAGCCAATGCTCATAGAACATGATCTTGACTCTTCACCATTATGCTAGACTTCCTGCAAATGTTCTCCACCTTATTATTACTTGTAATTTTTCCAAACAACCATTAACCGTATTTTTCTGATTATTATAATAACAAATTGAGATGAGGTCTCTAGGTAACACCTCACCTTTCTCTTACTGATTTTCCACATATAAAACAAGTCCATTTTCTCTTTCCACCATGAGTACATTCTATGTGTCGTTTCAAATTTCCAGTGTCATTGAACTGGCGACCACAGATATCACATGGAAATGGACCTAAAATAGAAAGAGAAAGGAAAATTTATTTACTCAAGTTAAATGAAAGAATGCTAAAGTAGTCAGTCGTACCTTTGAGTGTGGGGAGGAAAAAGGTAGGATGGAGAGTGGAATAGATTACACAAAAGGTTTTAAGGCTCATATTAACATAGAAATTAAGTTAATGTTTTCAAAGAATGCTGGTAATTTAAGTCATTGCTCTCACTTTAAGTGAAGAAAATTTAAAAATTTCACTTCTTAGGTTCTACAATTTTTCAATTTTAAAAATATTTAATGGTTACAATTATTTTTGTTGGCAAAATGTCTAGATGACTTGATTTTAAAGTATTTAGATAAATTTCAAGGGTATTATCAATAACCAATTATTATTATGAAGCTACTACATATATGCCAAGTGCTAGGTGCCAGGACTATACTTACAGAAAATGAAAACTTTACATCCTAATTAGAAGCTTATCATGAAGCAACTGTATCCAGAGTATAGGATGTACAGAATAGTATTCTATAATATCAATGTCAATAAAAGGGAGGTATCTAATGGCACGCTGCAGGCAATCGGGGTTAAGTGACTTGCCCAAGGTAGCAATGCATTTATTAAGCACTCAATATGTGCCAAGCATTTTGCTAAGTACTAAATACAAAGAAAGACAAAAATATGAAGTTCCCATCCTCAATGAGCCCACATTCTAATACACAAACAGCTATATATCTACAGGATATAAACAAATTAGATGGTTGGTAATGTCTCAGAAGGAAGGCATAAGTTGGAGTGGAGGTGGGTGAGGTAGGAAGAACACGATGAAGACGACCAGGAAAGCCCTCTTACGAAAGCTGGGACTTGAAAGAAGTCTGGAAAGCCACAGCGCAGAGGCAAAGAGGAAGAGCATTCCATGTATGAGAGATATCCATTGAAAAGATACAGAGAAGGGAGCAAGAGTGGAAGAAATAGCAAGAAGGCAGGTATTGTGGGATCATAAAATACATGGTAGAAAGTGAAGTATAAGACTAGAAATATAAAAATGAGCATGGTTGTTGTGAGGGATTTTTTAAAAATTAATTTTTTTCAATTAAGCATTTATTTTCCCTCTCTTATTTACTTTTTTTTTTAGCTTTTAATGGCTTTTTAAAATAATGTTTTCCCAATTACATGTAAAAACAATTAACATTCTTTTTGTTTTGAGTTCCAAATTCTCTCCTTCCCTCACTCTTTGAGATATACATGTATAATTATACAAAACATATTTCCATATTAGTCATGTTGTAAAAGAAAACACAGACAAAAAAAAAACCACCAAAAAATAAAGTGAAAAATAGTATGCTTCCATCTGCATTCAGACTCTATCAGTTCTTTCTCTGGAGGGTATATAGCATTTTTCATCATAAGTCCTTTGGATTGGTGGATCACTGTATTGCTGAGAACAGTGAAGTCATTCACAGGTGATCATCATACTATGTTGCTATTTCTGTGTATGATGTTCTCCTAGTTCTGCTTACTTCACTTTATATTAGTTCATGTAAGTTTTTCCAGGTTTTTCTGAAAGCTCTGCTCCTTTCTTATTGCACAATAGTATTCCATTACAACCATCCACCACAACTTGGCAGTCATTCCCCAACTGATGGATATCCCTTCAATTTCCAATTCTTTGCCACTACAAAAAGAGCTGCTATAAATAGGTCCTCTTCCCTTTCCTTTTTCTCTCAGACCTAGCTAGATCAGAGTATGCAGTTATAGCCCTCTGTGCATAGCTACAAATAGCTCTCTAGAATGGTTGGATCAGATCACAACTCCACCAACAGTGGACATTAGTGTCCCAATTTTCCCATATCCCCTCCAATATTTACTATTTTCCTTTTCTGTCATTCTCATCTACTTTAAAAACCAAAAGAAAAACAAACAAAAACCTCTTGTAACAAACATGTATAGTCAAGCAAAACAAATTCCTATATTGGTCATGTCCCAAAAAATAAACTTTCCTTTCTGCTAAATCCATTTTGGGATCCCCTTTAAACTTATGGCTTGTTCTGCTTATGATTAATACTCATTTCAACCTGTGTTATTAGAGTGTTGTTGTGAGGATCAAACGAGATATTTGTAAAGTGCTTAGCACAGTGTCTGGCACATATTAAGCACTACATAAATGTTTATTCACTCTCTTCTCTTCCTCTTCTCTCTCCCCTTCCTTTTTCTATTATTATTATTATTATTATTATTTTGGTGAGGCAGGTGGGGTTAAGTGACTTGCCCAGAGCCATACAGATAGCTAGTAAGTGTTATGTGTCTGAGGCTGGATTTGAACTGGTCCTGATTCCAGGACCAGTGCTCTATCCACTGCACCACCTCGCTGCCCATTTTTTCTCTTATTTCCCTTCTGAATAAATGCATTTTTCCACCAAACTGTGCATGTGTGTACGTGTGTATGTTTTCTATGCTCCTTTGCCCAATTCACACAAAACTGAGGTTCAAAAGACACCCACAGATTTCTACTTCCATTCTCCAATTATGTGAAATGTTTCCTCACTCTATTTTTCTGTGGGGTATCTTTTTTTCCTTCTCTTTTCTTTCTTAAGATCATAAAAACAAAACAACTCCTAGGCTCTCCATGTTATTTGACTGTCTCTATGATCCCTAATGACACTTGAGTTCTGAGAGGACACTTTTATCACCACACCCCTCCATTACAATACAAAAAATGCAAACTTCAGCCTTATATAATTCCTTTTTCATTTGTATTTACGTTTTTATGTTTCTACTTACTCCTATAAGTAGCAAGGTTATTTTTGGTTTTAAGTCTAAATCTTTTTCACCTTTTGGAATATCATAGTCTATACCCTCCTCTCTCTTTTGGCGATAGCTGCTGAATCTTGTCTGATACGGACTAGTGAGCTCCTTGACACTCAAACTTAGTTTTTGGTTGCTTGCGGTAGTTTTTTAATTTAGAATCTCTTGATTTTGGTTATGATATTCTTAGAAGTGTTCATTTAGGGGTTTAACTTAGGATGTGATGGGTAGATTCTTTCTATTTTCATTTTTGCCCTCTTGTTCTAATATGTCTAGGCAGTTTTCATATTTCTTAAAATATGATATCCAGGCTCATTTTTTGGTCCTAACTTTTGAGTATTTCAAAAATTCTTAATTTGTTTTCTGGACAGCTAGGTGTCACAGCAGATAGAATTGACAGGCCTGGAGTCAGAAAGAAATGAGTTCAAATCCAGCCTCAGACACTTAATAGCTATGTGACCCTGGGCGAATCACTTACCCTGTTTGTCTTAGTTTCTTCATCTGTTAAATGAGCTGGAGAAGGAAATAGCAAACCACTCCAGTATCTTTGCCAAGAAAATCCCAAACGGGGTCATGAAGGATAGGATATGACTGAAACAACTGAACAATCTATTTTCCACATTAACTGTTTTTGATAAAAATATCTTTTCTTCTTTTTTTGCAAACTTTTCATTTTGTTTTAATATTTCTTCTTGTCCCAAGCTCATTAACTGTTGTTTGGTCCATTCTAATTTTCATGGCATCTGTTACATGGGTTAGATTTTATAATGCTACACTCTCTTTCCAAGTCTTTCCTTTAAAGCACTCATTAATTTTCTAAATCCTTCCTCTAACATTCTCTTTTCATTTTTTATCATTTTTAACTTTAAAAAAACTTTATTTTTTTCTTATAGGAATTATAATTGACCTCTTGGCCAAGTTTTACTTTTCTTTGACCCTTTGTTTCTATGTGTTTGAAGGTATAATCAACTGGATTTATGCCTTGGGCATCTCTGACATCATAATAGCTCTTTATCTTTTTTGTTTTTAACTCATTAACCCAACCTTACTTGCCAGATTAAGACTCTGTGTTAGGGCCAGGCCCTATATATTAATGGTGGAACTGTCTTTTCCTTATATAATCCTAAGGAATTTTATCTGTTACTTTCTCTGGGTACTGAATGTTTTGAGCTCCTTCAAAAATCAGAGAAAGCTCAGACCAGAAAGCTACAAACTGTCAGTGGGTCCTCTGCAGTCTGATCAATTGTATGGTCCCTATACTGCCTTCTTGGGCTTTCCACGCTCTGAATTCTAATTTGAATCTAGATAACATAACTGCAGACTTACTGCTGCATTAAGTTCCAGTCAAGAGTTGCTTGCTCCAGCCCCATCAGCTAGGTGGAAGATTTAACAGATTGAGAATTAAAGAACTGCCTGCTTACCCCTGTTCAAAGTCCACGAGGCTCAATCAGAAATTCACTTTGGTGTAAGAATAACAGTCCTACAATCACAGACTAGGGATTGAATCTGCAAATAGCCCACTTCTGTTCCATGGTTCCTGTCCTGCTAATTTGCCTATGAGGTGAATTTGTGATCTTGCGCTAGAAAGATCACTCATTGTAATTTCTTCTTAGATTTTTTAATCACTTCTTGGTCTGATGCTCTTCTAAAATCTTTTGCTGAAAAAGCTATAAGGGAAGCCAGGCTATATGGCTTCCTCCTACTCCATTATCTTTTTGTGGTCTCTGGGAAGGGCTTTAAATGTCAAAGGATTTTATATTTGATCCTAGAAGTAATAAGTAGCTACTGGAGTTTGCTGATTCAGGGATAGGATGACACACAGTCAGACCTGAACTTTAGGAAAATCACTTTGGTAGCTGAGTATGGGACAGATTAAATTGGGTAGAAATTTGAGGCAGGGATATCAACCAAAAAGCTACTGCAATAGTCCAAGACTGAAATGAGAGCCTGTACTAAGGCAGTAGCTGTTTAAGCAAGGATTCATTCATGTAATGTCTTGCACCTATCCTTTAAAAAAAAAAAATCAACTGACCAAATACAGGACAGTGAAGATTAGGCTTGACCACTGATCATCAGAGAAAAGGGAACACATATAAAGATTTTGTAAATGTACAAATGGTAAGACTTGTTAACATAATGGTTCTGTGAAATTAGTGTGATAGAGAAGTCAAGGATGACAACTAGGTTGTGAGCTTAGCTGATGGGAGTCCTCAATGGTAAA